CCAGGAGAAAAAGAAAACAAAACATTCCCAGATGCCACCAAAAAAAAAGGACCACTTGAGCTCAGGAGTTCAGGACCACAGCCTGATCCTATCTTACCCTCTCACAACAAAAAGTATAGTTACTATAGGGTCCAGCAACTCCATTTAAGGACTAACTCCAAAGTATACAGAAGGGCTGAGTGGTGGCAGTTCAAGACCAGCCTGGGCTAGAAAGTGAGGTCAAGGCCAGCCTGAACTGCATAGTGAGACCCTGTCTCAAACAGACAAAAAAAAAAAAGGAAATCAGTATCTCAGAGGTATCTACCCATTTTCAATGCACTATTCACAAACACCAAGACATAAAAAAAGGATCTGGGCATGTTACTACAGACTGTAATCTCAGCACTGTGGGAGCTGAAGCAGGATTACAAATTAAATCCCAGCCTGGGCAATGTAGTGACTTAATGAGAACCTGTTTTAAAATAAAAAACAGGCGACGGGGACTATAGCTCAGTGACATAGGGCCTACCTGGCAAGTGTGAGGTCCTGAGTTTGATTCCTGGTACCAAAAACAAAATAAAAAAATAAGTAACATTTTAAAAAAGGGGAGGGTTGGGATTGTGGCTCATTGTGAAGACCCTGAGTTCAATATCCAGTGTCCTCCCTATATGAAAGCAAAACTAGGTCACATTTAAAAAAAACTAGAATGTTTAGAGGAATGGCTGAATGCGGTACATTTTTTTTTTTTTTGGGAGACAGGGTCTCATGATGTAGTTCAGGCTGGCCTCAAACTCAGTGATCCTGCTGCCTCAGCCTCCTGAGTGCTGGGATTACAGGCATGTGTCACCACACCTGATCTCATATTGTCTTAAAAGTGTGCCATGCAGAATATGCATGAACCTGGAATATATCAAGTAAAATAAAGCAGTCACACCAAGACAAATACTATGTACTTTCATCTGTCCAATCCAAAAATTTTAGCTGGGTGTGGTGGCACATGCTTGTAACCTCAACACTCAAGATGCTGAAGCAAGAGGATCCCAAGTTTGAGGTCAATCTTGGCTATATCGTGAGTTCAAGGCCAGCCCAAGCTATAAGAAACTGCCTCAAAAAATGAAAACAGTACCACAGCAATCAGCAGAGGCTGATGAGTTGGGTAAATGGTCAAAGATACAAACTTTAAAGAGGAACAAGCTCTAGGGAGCAAACAGTCACGGTGACTAAAGTTGACACTGTACTGCACACTGTAAGATCTGCACAGTAGATAATGAGCATTCCCACCACAGATACAAAAGGAAGCATGTATACTGTTTTTGTCAGCCATACTTTGAGAGTGTAAAATTTACAATATAGCCGGGTGTGGTGGCACATGCACTTGGGAGGCTGAGGCAGGAGGATCACTGTGAGTTTGAGACCAGCCTGAGCTATACAGTGAGTTCAAGACCAACCTAAGCTACACAGTAAGACCCTAAGGGAAAGAAAAAAAAATCTCAAATCACATACAGACCACACAAACAGCAAGTACAGGGAACGAGGCATTTATTCATTTTACAAAGTGAGTGTTCATAGCCATGATTGGAAATTTCTTCCTTATCTGATGAACTATCAAGGAAAAAGGGGTGTGCTTGGTGATCAACAGGTGAGCAAGCTTTCTCCAGCAGGTACATTCTCTAAGTTTTTTGTTCCTGCTAAATCTCCTAGAAGACATGGTACAGAAAATCATGACAAATTATCTGTTAGTAAGCCAACTAGCAAAATCCTGTTTTGTGCTGTGTACTTTGTATGGCATGGAGCACAAATACATACCCAAGGCAGCCAAATCCCATGAACTCTAGGTTGTACCACGGGAGACTGACGTTGCAACCCTTGCCTCTATAGCCCTCTGCTACTCAGCTCACTCACTCCGTTAGTACACTTCTCAGAGCTGGGGGTTACTATGTCCAGACAGAACCTTAGTGCTACAGCACTGGAGGTAGAGTGCTTGTCCTTTTTTTTTTTTTTTTTTGGAACTGGGAATCAAACTCAGGACCTTGTGCTTGTGAGGCAGGCACTTGTGCCACTGAGCTATATCCCCAGCCCTGCCTCAGCCTCTTCAGTGCTGGCATTACAGGTACGGCACCACACATGGTGCAGAGTGCTTGTCTGTCACGTTAGGCTCGTGTTTGATCACTAGCACCAAGAGCTTTTTAAGGCAAAATGGGATGCTCAATTTTTACTTTATAATGCAAGGATTATGTTGATTCTCCAGCCTTTGGTGTAACATGAAAACATGTATCACAAAAATTGGGGGCTGGTGATCAAACTCAAAAGCAGTGTTATTATTTAACTTAGCATGTACTAACTAAGGTCTTGGGTGTGACTCCCTCAGACCCTTGCAAGCCAAGTGTATTTAAAATGTTTATTCTAAATGCCAGAAAGGCCAGGGATATAGCTCAGTGGCACAGCACCTGCCTGGCAAGCACAAGGTCGTGAGTTCGATTCCCCGTACCAAAAAAATGAACAAAAAAGCAAAAACAAAAAACCAGAATGCCATGAACTGTTTCCAGTACTATGGAAGCTGCAGGGTCAAGCATGGCAACCCATGTTTACAATCCCATACTTAGGAGGCTGAGGCAGGAGGATTGCCACAAGTTCAAGGCCAGTCTGAACTACATAGTGGGACTCAACTCAAAAAAAGATTCCCCTCAACACAGCAGGCTCTAAGGCAGTTTCTCATAACCCAACACTAATAACATTTCCTAGGCGAGTTGTAAGTGTAGCCAGTCAGAAGCAGGTGATGGTCGCAAAGAGCCTCAGCTAGTTGGGGAAGGAGAAAGGAATGCAGCTGGGCAGGGAGCAGCAGGTTTCAGGACAAGCAGGTTTGACTGCAGAAATACACTCTACTGTCATGTTTTATAGACAAGGTACTTGCGGCAATTCACTTAATCATGTTTTAGTTTTCTACATTCTCCAAATCCATGTTGGCAAGAGGTTAGGGGAAGCATCACAGACCTGGCCTGTTCTGAACATCCTGCATTTGATATCCCTGACTCTTCTGTAATGGGTGGTATTTCCACTTCATGAAACAGTACAAATTAAGATGAAGTACAGTAGGGTCTGAAAAGTGATTTCCATGAGGTGGGGCTTGGGATCTGAAAGCTCACCTGTAGTTTATTCTGGAGATCAAAGGGACAAAGGAGAGGGTGGACATTTACAGTGTTTGGTAGGGGGACTCAGCTTGCTGGTAAACTCCTTGCCCACAATGTACAAAGTCCTGGGCTTGACCCCTGGCACCTACAGAAATTTTCCATAGGCTTTTTAAATACAGACAAGACTTAGGGCTGAAAATGACTTTGCAGGCCTTGGAATGTTTTCACGGTACCTTTCCATGTCTGAGGCTTCTTGGGAATCAATCCTATTCCCTTGTGGGATGTTAGCTAAGCCACAGCAGACCAACAAGCACTTTAAAATAAAACTGCCATGGGCCTCCTAGGCCTTTTCCTTCGAACCAAAAAAAGGTAGATTGGGCCCCCCATGGCTGAACTGCATATTTATCCACTGACATCCAGAAAGCCAAGCCAGTTGGAGACTGTTACAGGGGTGCATGAAGCTATCTGGGTCTTTATTGATCCCACTTGAAGGATTTTTTGTTGCAGGGTTGATAATGGGATGCTACCATAGGTGACACAGAGCAGGAGGAACACTTGTCCTGAGACAGGACAGGATGCCCCACCACCTACAAAGGATCCTCCCATCAGCTCCCAAGACCTTAGCTTCCAAAACGCTCCCAAGTCTGCGTCTCCATCAACCCGCCAGAGAAAATTCACGACCGTCCAGGTGGGAGAAAGAAGGGTCCTTAGGGACTGTTAGCTGGGGGACCCAGGAAGAGGTCTCTAACACCTCAACTCACAATATAAGCTAGCAGGCCCCATGAATGAGGGAGTTTGGCTGACAGCATTCTGGAACTTGCTACCTGGTATTACTGTAGACTTAACAGATTTTTTTTAGGAACTAGGGGGAAAATAACACCCATGCCACCTTAATACAGCCAGCCAGTGGAACCATGATAAAAAGAGTCAGAAGTGGGAAACCCAAGGACAGTTAAAACATGAAAAAAATCGGACTACCAAGGGCCATCATCATCTTAGCACCCAAGAACCACTACTGTGACAAATACCTGTGAGCTCTACCAGCTGTCCTCAGTGACCTTGTGTGCCTACTCAGTTCACCTAACCTTAGCAGCAAATGCAAAGTGCCCACAGAGGTTAAATGACTCATCAAAGGTCAACCAGCTGTGAGGTAGCAAAGCCTGTATCTGAATCCAGTCCTGAGGTATTTTTTGGAGACAGGGTCTTCCTATGCAGCATGGTCTGGCCTGGAACTTGTGATCCTATTGGCTCAGCCTTCCATGTACTGGAGTCTAAGCTCTTAGAACCTGCTGTTCAAACCAGGTTTGCCATGTCTCACACAAATATGAACTCAGTATCCAACTCCTATCACTTCAGGGGAGGAAATTGGTGTTATTCTATTTATGACAGGGTATATCTAGAGCACATGTCCTGGGAATAGGTGCTTCCATTCCCAAAGCAATCATTGGTGGGGGGGGGGCAGGGTTTGAGACAAGGTCTCACTATGCAGCCCAGGCTAGCCTGGGACTCATGGTGATCCTGTCCCAGCCTCCCAAATGCTGGGACTGCAGGTATGCACCACCGTGTCCAGCTTTTTAAGAACAATCTTGTTATAAGGATGTTCATGTAAAACTCAGGGTCGGGAAGAGTCAGACCCAAGCAAACACTGATAATGGGACTGAGAAACCACATTGGGAAACCTACTTCCAGACCTAAGATAACTTTAACTGCACCCATTACACTTCAGGCCTCAACATACACGCAAACCAATCCCAAACATGAGGCGCCCACCCCTCTCAAGTCCTTGCCCCAGTCCTCCACTAAATATTCTCCAAGTCTTCCTTCCTCTTGACCTGCCTCTACTTAAGAATTTATGAACTGTGGTAAAGAAGAAACATTATCAGTATCAACATGTTCAGGTTTCATCTTTTTAATCAGCTCTGAAGGACATCCTAAACACTACATGAGACACGAAAGAATATTTTTTTCTTCCAGTATTTAAAAAAAATGACATTCATAAACATTTTTAAGAAGCTTTGATAATCATGATGGATCTTCAATAAAAAACTGCCCTAGGCAATCATATTCTTGATACAGAGGTGCTTACAGGTACATTTAAAAAATTCTCTAGTCATGACTAAGAATTGTGCACATTTTAAAAAGAACCCCAGATACATGTTGATTGAAAAAAAAAAATCAGTCTGGCAATTTTTTTTTTTATTTTTGCCAGACACAACAATCCTGAGAGTCCAACCTAAAAACTTTATACAGGAAAAATCCCCATACTCTACAAATGTCCCAGAAGTTTGTTTTTAAATGGGGGAAAACTAAAGAATTAAAGAGCTTTCTAAAAGGTCTTTAACAAGAGGAAATTAAAGAATTAAAGAGCTTTCTAAAAGATCTTTAACAAGATACCTTGGGAGCTCAATTAAAAAATAGGTAATATACTAAACAAATTTCAGCGCAGCTTCAAAAATCTTTATACAGTGATTTGGAAGGACGATCCTGGATGAGAAGTGTTATTCCTTGTGCATCTGAGAACAGTAAGAAGGGGTAAATTGTGATGTCAGGAAGAAACGGGTTGAGAACATTTTCACCTCCCAGAATAGACAAAGATGCTGAGGGCTGACTAACGCAAGTATCTCTTCATCTGCAAAGAGTAGGCAATCGTAAGAGATGGGTTTTTTTTTTTGGTTTTTCTCCAGTACTGGGAACCGAACTCACGACCTTGCGCTTGCCAGGCAGGCGCTTTGCCGCTGAGCTAAATCCCCAGCCCCAGAGATGGGTTTTCAGACCACCCCCCGCCACGCAGACTAACCCTGACATGCACCTAAGAGCAAGGGCAGCCTGGGAGTGATTTGGTGGGTGAGTGGTGAGGTATGTCAAAGTGGCAGAATGCTGAACAATCCAGCAAGAAGACAAGCAGAGGAACACAGCAGGGTCCAACGGGCAGAGGTATGCAGTGCCAATATTCAGGTATCACTTACTTCATGTCTACAAGCCTCTCAGTTGTCATAATTGTCTCTGTAATTCCCTCCTGAGTAGCGATCATAACCACCCTGGCTTCTGGGGAAAAACACAACTGTTTGACAAGAATGCATTCTAGACTACCGATAACACCGAAACCACACGCACATTTTAGTCTGTACCATAATGTGGACTTAACACGTATAAAGCAGGACATATGAAACACAATCAGGCAGCAAACAAATCAAGCCACATTTCATATTAAGACAAGAGAAAACACCCAATGTAGTAAGACCAACACACATATATCACCATGTCTGTTTATGTGGCCACACAATTACTACAGTACAAAGTAAGTTTCATACTCAGTTACCCACCTGCCACTATAGTCTCTGGAGCGCCCATATCCATATCCATATCCTCCAGGTCGACTGTCATACCTGCCACTTCCATAGCCCTGGTCCCCACCACCTAAAACAGACAGAAATGATTAACTGACAGTTATCCAGGCACAGGCCACTAAGGGATGGCCCCCCGTCCACCTCACGAACAACCTTACCTCTGCACTTACCTCTAGAGTAGCTGCGACCACGTCCATGGGCCCCAAAAGCACCTCCTCCTCTGGTGCCCCGGGCAGATTTGCCTGCATGGTCCACACGGATCTGGCGACCATCCAGGGACTAGGTATGGGAAGGGAGACACAAGGAAGGTGGGTTGGCAGTCAGTCAAGGTAATGGTGAGGGAAGAGCGGGCATGGGCAGGTGGGTAAGAGCCCAGAAATTCCTGCTGGACACCAGATTCTGGGTGCCATGTTCCAGAACAAGCTCCTCTCACCAAAACGGCTTCATCAGGAGCATCAGAATCCCACAGAATGTCCTGAATCCACCATGTTTCCCCTTGCTACTACTTACATCTTGACTGAACTCAGGCCGAGTTCTCCTCCCCACTCCTCTAAGCTGCACGACTATTAGGGCTAGACAGACACCTCTCTTGGTTTGAGGCTTCAGAGTCCATCCCAGAAGACTCACGAGGTCCTCTCCGGGCCAGGCCCACAGGTCTGCAGACTCTACTACCTAAGCCCAGGGCAGGTCAACCATCCACAGGTGGCTTCTCGGCCTCATGCAGGACCAGTCGTCGCCTCCCAGGCAGCCCGGCTCTGTCTGCCGTTGCCCTCCACCCCCTAGAACAGAAGGCAGTCACGCTCCTGTGAGTGGGCACTGCGGGGCTTCATGGCCACGCTGCCCCTAGCAGACACAGAGGGAAAAACAAAGAATGGAGAAAGTGGCAGATGTAGACAGGGGCCCTCCGCAGGTAGGAGACCTCACCTCTCCATTCATGGCTCTCATGGCATCTGAGGCGTGCTCTGGATTGGTAAAGGTGATGAAGCCAAAACCCCGGGATCGCTGAGTTTCCCGGTCCTTGACAACAACCACTAGAAGAAAAGGAAATGTGGATTAGGCAGCATCTAAAGGTATGTGGCGGCAAGGACGAGTCTGAAAAGGAAGCTGACAGTGAATGGCCTCCCTCTCACTAACCCTGTGTCCTACTGCGTTCCTGAGACCATGTCTTGCCCCAGCCGGCCTGGAGTTTGCTGTGGTCATCCTGCCTCAGTCTCCCCGTGTGCTGGGATTACAGCCAGGCACTACGGTGCCCAGCTTTTTAAAGGAGAACTTTAAGGCTCTAAATGCTGACTATTCTCCCGATGTTCCACGAAATGCAAATGTCTCAACGCTGCTCTCACCCCCGCCTCCGCCCAAGGGTCTGGCCCACGTCTCACCCTCAGAAATAGGCCCGAAGCTGCTGAAGTGGTCTTCCAGCGCCTGCTCGTCGGTATTGAAGTTGAGCCCGCCGACGAAGAGCTTCCCTTCTTCAGAAGACATGGCAGTGACTTCGAATCCTGCTTCACAAAAGGATGGGAAAAGCTTAAGGTAGGGGAGAGAGGAGAAGTTGTAACAATCTATAAGTCAAGCGACTCGGGAGAAACGCTGAAAAGGCGGGAATCTGCCGTGCTGGCCCACCGCGGTCGCCATTTGACTGCAGCTGCCGCGCATGCTCACAACGTCCTCTGCGACCACGCCCGTCATTTTGTACCGCCGCGCAGGCCCAGAACAGCCTTGCGGGTTCTCCGCGCTCCCAGAACAAAATGGAGGCGATCACGTGGGGAAAGGGGCAGCGGGTCTCCGCCGTCGCGTGGTTACTGCCACCGGCGATGCCACCGGGCCCTCCTAGCATTACTCGCCCTCAGGCACTGCGCGCCGGCTTCCCACCAACCGAGAAATGTAATCTCTGAGAACCAGATCTCCGCTTCCGGAACGCCCAAGCCTACGTGTCGGGAGCCGCTACTCCCCTACTCAGGTCTCCCGCTCTGGCTGGCAGGGGGCACGTGAAACGAGAAGCTGCCCCGCAGGATGTATGTGTCACTTACCTGGGAATTAGAAAGTAATACAGCACAGACGGCAACCTCTGAAGAACAAGGAGAACAGGGAAGCTCACGCGCGGGAAGGCGCCTGATAAAGCCTACGTAGCAAATACGTCACGGAACGTCCCCCAGCGCATGTTGGCGTGTGTGCTCATTGGCTGAAGTCGGAAGGGGCGGGGCTACGGGAGAGGAAGCGACGGCAGAGCGGAGGGAGCAAAACCGTCGCGCGCGCTTCCGGGAATACAGGTTGACCTTTTGCGATTGGTGTATCCTAACGTTAGCATCTGCTCGCCAGCCGAGCCGTCTTCGTTTCTTCTGCACGCGACCAGTTTAGCTCACATATCCCTTTCCGTCCCTGATGACATCCTCACCTTCCTTGACGTCATTTTCCCCATTGGATCTGAGTTCCTTCTCATTACAGCTGTAGGTCCCTGTCAACATAATCACTGTCTTCTGATGTGAGGTTCCCTTACCTCCTCGTTCTCTAACTTCGTACCACTCAAGGGTCGGACGTTTTATTCCCTAGTGTCCCAGAAGTTATCGCCTTTCACAGTCCTGGCCGTCAGACTCCACATTTTCTCACTACCTGACCCTAACCTCTTTACTTCCTCCTCTGTGTCCGTCTCGCCACCTGTCAATGGGACTTTTCCCCCCTCATGTCATCCTTTTTACCTCTGACTTCAGCTTTCATCCTTATCTGACTGCCCCACTAAGCCAGTCTCCTGATTTTCCCATCAGTAGATTACCTTCGATGCCCTTTGCAAATCGGGATGTATCCTGTTTCCAAGGATTTTTCTGTCACTCAGGAGAGTTGAGGCTTTCATCCACAGAGTGGACTTTCATAATACACATTGAAGTCTAGAGTAAAAGTACTGCCGGGTGTGGTGGCTCACGTCTGTAACCCTAACACTCAGGAGGCTGAGGCAGGAGGATCGCTGTAAGTTCAAGGTCAGCCGGAACTGCATAGGGAGACCCTGTCTGAAAAAAAAGGCTAAAGAATTAAATAAATAAAGTAAAAGTCCTGTGAGCCCACTGCCAACAATTTAGTCTTTTCCAGCCTTCAGTATCTGAGCTGCCTTCACAGAGAATGGATTTGGCACATTTACCATTTCTGAGTGCCCCACCAATGAAGAATGAATTCCTTTGTGCTAAGAAACTATTTATGAATTTGTCTTGCCTCCTAAGGTCCTGCCCCCATCCTCCTGCCACCAACACAAATTACACCTGTTAACCTTCAGAGTGCAGTGTGCTAGTCATCTATATTCCTATTGGGCCGATTCCCGTAGATCTCTTGTTGATTTTCAGAGATTCCTCACATAGTCTAATTATTAATCTTGTAAGTGTTGCAAATTGTAAACCCACCCTCCCACTCCAGCTTAGAGTGTTATTAAGTTTGTAAGTAGTATTTTTATTTAACTAAGGACCTTTACTTTTGATGTAATCACACTTGGGAAGTTGTGGCAGGAGGATCACTGTGAGTTCAAGGCCAGCCTGGACCACACAGTGAGACCCTGTCTCAAAAACAAGATGTAATTCGGGGCTGGGGATTTAGCTCAGCAGCACAGTGCCTGCCTGGCAAGTGCAAGGTCATGAATTTGATTCCCGGTACTGGAAAAAGAAACAAAAAACAAACAAACAAAAAAGATAAATTTATGGGCTGGGGATCTAGCTCAGTGGCATAAGCACCTGCCTGGCAAGCACAAGGTCATGAGGTCGATCCCCGGTACCGTAAAAAAAAAGAAAAAAAAATTATTTTCTCCTGATGCTCTGTGCTCCTAAAGAAATCCCTCTCCCAGGTCACAGAGATGTTCTACAGTTTCTTCTGGTAACTTTACAGTTGTGTACTTCTTGTTTTGCCCTACTAGGAATTGAACCCAGGGCCTTTGCATTGAGTTACGTTCCCTGCCCACTCCATTTGGTGGTATCGGTGATTGAACCCAGGGCCTTCGCACTAAGCTGCATCCCCAGTCCTTTATTTATTTTTTATTTTGAGACAGGGTCTTAGTCACTAAGTTGCCAGGCTGGGCTTGAACTTGAGATCCTCCTGCCTCAACTTCCCAAAGCTGGAATTACAGGCGTGTGCTACCATGCCTTGCTTATAGTTAGGACTGGGGCTGTACTCAGTGGTAGAGCACTTGACCTAGTATAGACAAGGCCCTGAGACAGATCAAGACTAATATTAGTTCTTTTCTTAAATCATGAAGGCCTTGAGGAGTGATAGTGTGTTGGGCTGGAGATGTAGCTCAGTGGGAGAGCACTTGCCTAGCGTGGGGGAGACCCTGTGTTTGATCCTCAGTAGAAGAAGAAAAGTGGAGGATAAGGGAGAAAGGAAGAAGGAGGAGAACAAAAGTAGGAAGAGCTAGTGTGTCACTTTTTTTTGTCTTTTGAGATAGGATCTCACTATGTGGCTCAGGACTTGAACTTGCAGTGATATCCCGAGCACTGGGATTACTGGAGTGCACAACCACAAACAGCTCATAGTGTGTCGCTGCTTTCTTCTTCTTCTTCTTCTTCTTTTTTTTTATATATATATATATTTTTGAGACAGGGTCTGGCTATGCAGTTCAGGCTGGCCTTGAACTCACTTTATAGCCCAGGCTGGCCTTGAGCACACAGCAATCCTCCTGCCTCAGCCTCCTGAGTGCTGGGATTACAGGCGTGCACCACCACACCCGGCTGTCATTACTTTCCAGTGCCATAAAAGGCACCTGTGCTTCCTGTTTCACACGGATTGCTCACCATAGAACGTTAGCTGATCTGTCATGAGCAGTCTTAGAGCGGGTTCTCTAGAATCCTGTCTCAAGGCCTTTTGCCAACAGCCCTGTGAGCAAGGTTTGTTACAAATGTACCCAAGCCTTCAGAAACGTTATTAGACACTCTGAGACAGAAACATCCAAGAGATAAGTCACTCCCTGAATCCTGACTCTCCAAAACCATGGGAGATACTGCTTATTGTTTTAACCCTGTAAGTTTTTGGGGTAATGAAAATCTTCCCAGCAAAGATATGTCTTTTTTTTTTTTTGGAGATAGGGACTCACTATGTAGCTTAGGCTGGCAGTCTTCCTGCCTCAGCTTCCCAAATATTGGCAATACTGGCATGTGCTACCATGCCTGGTGATCATCTATTTGTATTAGTTTATTTATTTATTTTTATCTATCTATCTATCTATCTATCTATCTATCTATCATCTATCTATCTATCATTATTTTGAGACAGGGTTTCACTAAGTCAGTAAGTTGCCCAGGCTGCAGGGTGAAATTCCAATCTTGTTGCTTCAGTCTCCCAGGGTACCAGGATTACAGGTGTGGGCCACCATGCCTAGCATACTTTTTTTCTTAGTAGAGGTCTTTTGTATTGGTTAAATTTTTAAAATGAGTTTTATTTATTTTATTTTTGGTACTGGGAGTAGAACTCAGGACCTTGCACTTGCAGGCAGGTGCCGTGCTGCTGAGCTCTCTCCCTGGCCCTGTATTGGTTATATTGATTCCTAGTTACTCCAGTTCCTTACTAGGTACTGCTAGTATAGAGAAAAGCTTTAATTTGTATAGGTTGACTTTATATCTGGAAGCCTTGCTGAACTCTTGTTCTTCCTGTTAGTTTTTCTCTAATCATTTCCAAATGTGGTTTAACAATAATTTCCATAGCGTACACCTCATTTTTTCCTTCCTACTAGCAATGGACAGTTTCATATTAAGAGTAGTGTTGCCTTCCACTCTCGATCCCTGGCTCAGCCCCTTTTCCCTCCTTCCCCCTAAAGGATTTGGCAATAATTAATTTTTTTTCTATTTCCAGTCTTCTAAAATAGGCACAGATTTGCTTACAAGAAAGCTAATTTTTTTAAAAGCATACAAAAGTTGAGCACAAACAGTAAGATTCAATCCAGCCATGCAGAGGAATGAAGGGTAATAGATACTGCACGGGTGCCTTCATCAGAAAACCGACCACCCAAGGTGACTACCTGGAGTCCTCACACTCGAAAGCAACAACTGCTTTGTGCACCAACTCACAGTAGAATTTCTTTCTTTTTGTCTTTTTTGAGACAGGGTCTCGCTATGCAGTTTAGGCTGGCCTTGAGCTCACTTTGTAGCCCAGTCTGGGTTCGAATTCCTAGTTCGAATTCTATTCCTGGAATAGAAAAAAAAATAATTTGTAGCCCAGTCTGGGTTCGAATTTGAATTCCTAGTGATCTTCCTGCCTCAGCCTCCTGAGGGCTGGGATTACAGGCGTGTGCCACCACGCCTGGCTTCTATCTATTACTTATATAGTTAAATGGTCTTTATAGACAATCTGTACCCATGAAATTAGACATATTCTACAATAGTAAAATTATAAGACCACAACATTTCTTTTGGGCAAATCCCTTAATGTAGTGATTTTAATATCAATGTTCTTAAAAAAAAATTGTTCTTTTTTTCCCAATGTTCTTCATTCTTTGAAATATAAAGTATTTTAACTGAATTAAGGTTATACATTTTTAAATACTACATACATCATGACTAGTATATTAAAATTATTTATACTATTTATATCTAGTATCCAAAGAAAATTTACTACCAAATTCTTACAGCAGATATTTGTCTGCCATGCTTATTAATTGATCCCGTAGGTATAATTATAGATCATGATTTTAGTGTCTATGCTTTCACTTCACTAGTCAGGAATGCAGCATGTACAGAACAAATAAACAAGGGGTGCAGCCACTGAAGGACCGTGGCTGCTCCTCAAGTTAGCTGTCACAAGCTGGGATTCAAATCCCCACCATGTGAGCAAAGTTGTACCCAATTCCTCATCAAAGCGTGCTGGTGGAGGGTGTCACATGCCTTCCAGTGTAGACCCACAATCCAATGGCTAGCTGATGAGACAGCGGCGGAGGTGGAAGAAAAACCTTTAGAAATTCTGCTGAGAATTATGCCCCCCTTTCCCCTACCACTCGTTTCTCCAGCTGAGAGTAGCCATGAGCAGCCGTGAGCTTGGGTTGTTTAAAAAGGAACTCCTTGCGGGTGTATATTTTTCTGGCCAACTTGGCCAATTCCTTTTTTGTTTGTTTGTTTTTTTCTGGTACCGGGAATCGAACTCACGACTTTGTGCTTGCCAGGCAGGCGCTGTGCCCCTGAGCTAAATCCCC